CAGTAAAGCCGTGCTGCCAAGGGCTTTGTCCACCGCCACGCGGAGCCTGGGAGCAGACGGGTGTTTTTGCTGGAGTGAAAAATGGGTGATTTCCCATGGCTTTCCTGGCTCGCCCGAGGGACGGGGCGCCCAGTGCWGCTTGCGCAGGGAGCCTGTCCCCTGCCGTGGGGAAAGCACGGCCCTGCCCTCCCCACTGCCAGCGTCTCCCTCAAGACCGTGCAGTCAGCCATCACGGAGCATGGCGGGCACGGAGCAGAGCRAGGCCCTGGCCGCTCGCCGCTGCGCAGGGACGGCACTGCTTSCCGGGGCCGCAGGCGGCCTGAGCATCCGCCGCTCCGCTCGGTGCACGGCTCCTGCCGCTTGGAGCCGGGCACCAAGGAGAAGGAGCACTTACCTGTGTGAAACCAGCTGGCAAGGCAACTGCGGCTCCCAGGCCCAGTCCAAAAGCTCTCCCTGGTAGTGTATGCTGGAGAAAAGGTTTCATTTTAAAATACTGCCCAGGATTAAGGCTATTAGCATGGTCAGAAGGGCATAAAGAAGGGTACCCTGGTGCTCTGCAGATGAGCTGGTTTTGCTCCTGTGATAAGTCAAGTAGCAGCAAAACTTGCAAATTGCTTTCACCCTGCAAGACAGAAGGTGCTAAACAACTCTCCACATCCCTGCCCCTGCCACTGGGTAACTGGCTTTCCAGAAGTGTGAATCCAGCCCTGGGAATCTCCCATGTCAATAGTCCTGTTGTTTGCTGACCTCAGGTGAATCACCTGTTTATTCCCAACAACTGGACTGCTTGGTAGGACCAGATCAAGTAACCACGGAGCCTGCACTGTTCCTGCTGTCAAAACCTAAAGAGTAATAGCAGCACTGCTCTTTATGTATTTAACAAGCTGTTCAAGAAAAAAATATAYGTGTATGTGTATACCTAATCTATGTGTATACACATACATATATATGTGTGTGAAGGTATATATACATACAACACAACAATAGAGGTGCACATCTGGACCTTCCTAGAGCACAGCAGTCATTGTACAGAAAGACACCACTACTAGGCTTAGAAATATCTTTGTCTGTACCAAAAAAAAAGTTCCCAAATGTATGTAATTAACTTGTCATGTGTCTGTTATTTGTTTTTAAGCTCATACTGGGACAGCAAAAAGAGACACATTATAGTATTCACATCATATTTAAACAAAGCCCTGTTCATTTACTCTCTGATCTTTTCCCATCCATCTCTTCTGTTCCTTGCAGCCATTCAGCACAGATATCTGACCGAAAGAGCACAACCAGAATATCCTTCTGTTTTCAGCACTATTGAAAGTCTTTGACCTGGACTGTGTTTTAGTTCAAATTTTGACCATTTATTTGCAATTCTTTTTGTGGTGCTACCTATTTTCCTGCAGTGTGTCTACCAAGTAAGGCAATTGTTTTTTCACACCTATGTTTTATTCATTTCAGGGACTTTTCAATTTTTTTTTTACTCATTGCATCATGGATAAAAATAGAGCCAACCCCTATGCTTTCTGATCCCTCAAAAGCTGAGAGTTGCTGCAGGAACACCATATGTGCTGTGCAGATCAAACCATAGTCAAGCGGTTGAGTGCACGGTCTTTAGCATGGGACCATGTTGGGAAACTCTTTGAGTAATCACTTCAAATGCTCTTCTTTTGCATGAAGCCCTCTCTCTCTGAACCTGATGCTTAACAAAAATAATAAAGCAGCCTGTGAGCTGGATTATTGGAATCTGCCTGATCCTGTCCCCTGATATCCAAGAGTTCTTTTGTCCTTTTCAGGACCATCATTATTCCTTGCAGTGTAAACTTTCTCACTGATGTGGAAATAAATTAATAGGCATTAATTTATGGCTAAATAGAAATAGCCATTTAAATATGCTAATTGGAGGAATCAACAGGCAGTGTGAATCACTTTGAAAATAACACAGTGATTTGATGCTGTTATTAGTCAGAGCAGGCCAACCTGGGCACAAGTCACAGGGCAGCAGGGGAGGAGAAACCCTAGAAGTGCAGTTTGGCCAAGAGCTGGACTCGGTACAATGCYGTAAAATACTGGTGGTACTGTGAGGCCATCGAGCCCCTCTGGGAGGGCGRGTGCTAATGGGTGAGTACTCCACCATCATACAGCATGACGCACAGTTCCTGCATGTGGAGGCCTTAAAAATCCCCTGGGAAAGAGCAAAGTGGTGAGGAGCTGGGGCAGCCAGGCCCTGCTCATGCAGGCTCAGTGCTGCGGGTATCCACAGGCAGTGAGCCTCCCGCCTCTGCCAAAGGTGCTTCATTGCAACTGATGGACAGCAGCGAGGTGTTTCATTTCAGCATGGCAACAAAATCCATCAGCTCTGACAGTGATCCAGCTTACCAAAGGCAATAAGGCAGTTTTCACTAGATGAACATAAGCTGCCAACAGAACTTTTTTACTTAACCTTTTTCCAAGGTTATTTTCATAGTTTCAAACTCTATGCCGAGGCATCTTCTCAGAAGATCATTTCCCTTCAACCTTTTGAATATCTATAGGCAGCTTCTCTAAACAACTCGGCATGATCTCTTGACAGAGAGGCAGCCAAAGGCATAAGGTGGTTCTCATACTGTCTTGCTCCAGCCTTGAAGAGTTTGCTTGAAATCAAGAGCTCATAGAAGGATGCTCATAGAAGGATGGTTAATCAACGTGATGAAGCTATGTTGGATGTCCAGGCACTCTATGCTCTGAATGTTAACAGTGATGTTCCTCAAGCACTTGGAATTAATGCTGATTTACTCACTATATATTAATTCTGGACCAGGAGTTAAAAAGAACTGCCCTACACTCTACTACATTACTAATGGCATAGTGGTTTGAGAGAGACGTTTTGAATAAAAAAGCAACAAAAACAAAACCCAGAAAGCTATTTGCAGATAGCATTAACACATTTCTTGAGGGATTGTTTGTGCTAGAAGATAAATATGTATATTGCTCCTCAAATGAGTAAGCATTCAAATAGCATTTCTTATTTCTGAGATTCTTCTTTCCTCACCTAGTTCAGTCACCTGGCTTTTACTCAAGGTTTTAGGATGAAATATATCATGTTCTTAAGTATACTAAACTCTCCTTTAATTTCAGTCATTTCAAAAGGAATGGAGCTAAACAAAGGCATTCAAACAAAGGAAAATAGCACACAACACTTATGAAAAACGCATATTTTTTAAAGTAATCATTGTATTTTTCTTTTGGATGACATTGTTTATTGTAAGACATCATTTTTATTAAATACACTGTAATACAAGAGACTTTCCATGTCATGTCGAGAGAAGCTGGTCACATGATTCACAAACAAAACTTTTAACACTGATACCTAGGCATCACTTTAAAATCAGCCAAGATGCAATGAAAGTTTTAAAGCAATGACTGCTATAACAAACTGCAAAACAAGAACCACTAAATATCTGCACGGAGACATCACATTTAAAAATAAATAAAATAAATAAATAAATAAATAAATAACAGAAAAAAAAAAAAGAAAGGCGAAAGATAGCTCTAAACACCAGGTCACAGTTTGGTGACAATATAGAGATTTATACGTAGGTATCTCCCTTTCTCTATATCAGATGACAAAAAGAGATATCTAGAAATATATACATACATAAAGTATAGGTTGAGAGCAGGGCTGGGACAAATATTTCATAATTAATTGGTTCTCTCTCTATTGGTGATATAATTAAACATCAATGTTGAATTAAATTACTTGTATAAAACATTCTTAGCTGCTTTTCTTTAAGATACAGAAAGATAAATATAAGCTGCAAGATATAGGCCTCTAGAAAGATTTGAATTGATCTCTGTTTTCTTACGTTTTCCTATCAATCAGCCTCACTACAAGCAGCTTCTATTATCCTTGCCCRAAGTAGTTAGTGTTTATAAAATACCAGCTGGTCGTCATGCAGAACCTTCTACAAGCAAACAAAAAAACCCCATAGACCTGGTCTAGAATGCATAGACGGTAAAATAATACACCCATCATTTCCCATTTCTTCTCCTGAGACGTATACTTAAAAGATGGCAAAATAGTCACTTGGTTGCTGTTGTGAAATTCACAGTGTTTTCCCTGCAACATGTAGACTTTTTTTTTTTTTTTGCTTCATATTTGTGATGAATGTAACAAAATAAACCCAAAGTACACCCCCCAAAGAAAAGTATTTTAACTAAGGCTCTTCAAGGACCTCTTGATTCAAAGCAGCAATGTTTCATCCCAGCCCTGACAACAAGAAAATACAACTTCCTGTGCTATTAAAACCTTCATCTTTGATTAGAAATCCCCATCTCTTCCCCAGCCCCTCCCCAGTCCCCTCTCTCACATTTTATAGCAGTATTTGAAATTCATTTACAGGCTGTAACAACCCAGAGACCACATATGCCAACATATGCACTGTATCTTAGTCATCCAGTGACCTGACCATTTTACTGGGTTATTTATTTCTTTTTTTTTTTT